GCTCGAGTGTGCGTCTGTGCATCCATCCATCCATCCATCCACCCATCCATCCATCCATCCATCCATCCATCTTTCCAGCCCCGGCAGGATGGTCTCCTTCCCCGTGGTGTTTATGTCCTTTCTAGCTACCCAGTTCTGTACTGCCAGAGCTGCTCGTTTCTGGGGGACCAGGGTACTGGCAGGGGGAGAGAGACCATAACCCAGCAGAAGAAGCACTTGGCAGTGCAGTGATCGGGTCCTCCTCCCTGTTCCCTGTATTAAGACCGAACAGGATCCTAAAACTGCACGATGTGATCTTTCTGTGGCTGTAATCCTCAGAGAAGCTTTCGCTGTTTTTTCTTAAGCCTGTCAGTTCAATTGATGGCTGCTTTTTTGGATGGGAGGGATGAAAATGCACTACTAATTTGCCAGATTGTGGTTGTAGGGCTGCGTAAAACAGGTGTGTGGGGAGGACAGGGGTGGGTGGGTGGTGTCACCCAAGTGTGTTTATGGGCTTCTCTTTTGCTGGGCACCTGCTCTGTGTGACAGTGGTAAAACTTCAGAGCCCTGTGCTGAGTGAAGTGGGAGCAGTTCAGGGGCAGAAGGAGAGTAACGACTGTTAAATGACCCAAGACCAATGTGTTGCTCATGAGCTATGTTTACTATGTTGTGCTTAGGCCAGACTGTAATCTAAGGCAGGCCTAACAACAAGCAGTGCCTCCTTGTCTGCCGGTGTGTAAAACTAAATGTAGCACTGAGGGGTGTGGAAGACTCTTTCAGGAGAGTTCTGGATAAAGCAAAGGCGGGCTGACTCCTCTTGGAGGGGAAGAATGGCCTGAAAACTCTGAAGAGCTATGAACAAAGAGGTACTCTGTACCTCATACAGAGACCTATCCTTGTGAGGAGTGTTGCTTTCAGTAAGATTACAGCTGTAGTTGGCTGAGATAATGTGTCATCTGTGGGAAATGGGGACTTGGGCAGGCAGGACTAGGTCTCTAGTTCGTGTCTTTATTTTGAAAGCCAAGAACAGTGTTTGAGCGATTGATATCTTACAGCTTCCAAATGAGATGCCTTGGAGAGGAGTTGGTAATCAGCTGAAAATCAATGCTAAGCATACTCATGACAAGTAGCTAACTGGTGGGCTGTGGTGGAGAGACCTAATAGGAAAGAGGAAAGAAAGTACTGGTTTATCGAGGGTTAATCACACAGCAGTGCCACACACTGAGTAAAATGCTTTTTTTGTATGGTAAAATGAATCCCTGTCGGTTCATGTTCCTCATGGTTTCTTTCTGCTGAGGATTTTGAGGACAGCACATTGTGTTGCTACCTCTCCTCCAGCTCTATCTAAACAGTCCTTGGGGAGTGCAGTGAGTACCTGTTCATGGTGTGCAGGGTGAACTGCTGTCACACTGTGTCAGAAATGACAGGCACAGTTCAACACTGGATTGTCATCAGTGAAGGAATGTGAACTGAAAAAGCTCAAAACTTGGGAGTTCACTTTTATAACTCAGAGTAGTTAAAAAGTGAGTTTTTCTTGGAGTGATGTTAGGAAGGAGCTGGGTGTGGGTCAAATTGCCCATTGTCACATTGCTGTAAGGGTCTGGCATTATGACACCTCCTAGAGCCGACAAAATTGTGTGGGTGGCATCTTTCTTGGCTACCTTTGACTACATGGCTATTTGGGCATTGGTGTTACCCTGGGAAAAGCGTTACGAAGCTAAATGGTTAAAACTTAGTAGAACTGGTACTTTCAAGTGCCTCTGACATGATTATCTGTGAAAAGCTTAAGAGATGTTTGGGACCAAAGATGCTGAACATTTCTGTTAACAGGGATGCACTGTGGCTCTAAGGTTTTCTGAACATCAAGATCTAGGGGTCTTGTGCAAAGAGAGGTGGTGTAAGAAGTATTGAATCATTCACACTCCAAAGACTTCCTATCATCTAAATCAGAGGGTTTAGAAACTTTTCTTTGTATGCAAGGTTGCAGTCAGTCAGCTAGTGCAGATTTTAACTGGAGTGTCATTACGCTTAGAAGACATGGTGAGAGCTCAGACAAATGACTTGGAAAAGAGCAAGCTCGTGGTGCTCACTTCACTCTTGCGCATCCTTATATGGGTGTGTCATTCTTTGAAACTCTGTCCCTGCTCAGTTTGTAGAGCCTCTTCCATGAACTCTGATCCTTCCCACTGGTTTGGAGAGATTAGTGTCAAAGCTCTACTGTTGAGCAGGGTAGCTGTCATGGGAAATTTATTTTAAAGCACCATATCAAGAAGATAGCCCTCAACTTTTGGAGACAGAGATGATTTGAACCATTTATTTCCTTGTATCTTTATGCAGTGTTTCTAAATGAAAAGCTAATTTTTCCTTTTTTTCAACATGTCTTCTTTTTCTTCAGATATTTGAGCACTGTTCTGCTGTTCAATAGATGGTTGGGTAGTTCAGGAAGAAGCTGTCAGTTGGAATAGGATGCCTGTGTTTTAATGAAGGAAGCAGAATTTGTGATTGCTCATACTTAGGCATCTTTTCCCAAATGTTAGTAGATGTACAGGTGTACACTGCAAGCACTGACAAGTGCCCTTTGCTTGGTGTGGGTTTGTGGGATGGAGCTACATCATCTAATAAATACTTTGCTAGAAAATGACCTTGCAAACAAAAGTTCCAGAGTGCTTTTTGCAGCCGCAGCAAGGACAATACATAATTTAGAAACAGGAGGCAAAGCCGAAAGCTCTTTCTAATTTCTCCTCTCTTATAGCTGCTGTGAGAAGCAGTATTTAAAGAACTAAATCACTACAGTGAAGAGTGTGAACGGATGGTATTCAGTATGGCTGTATTTTTAATTAGAAAATGAGCAGGGTCATGGAAACAATACAGCTCAGTCTTCCTAGGTAGCTCTAGAATAGCACTGCATGACTCAGATCCACATGTTCTGACTGTTTTGGTTTTGATTCATTAAAATGCGTCTTCTCCCCACAGTAAAATGTTCCCCAGGTCACCTGCCCCTCCCATGGGGTCAGGTACTCTGCTTGCATCTTGTCACATCTTGAAAGAAGGCCAGAAATACCAGGATACGTACCAGTAGAGAGATGAGCCTGGAAAGCTGCATCAGCCAGCACAATGAGATGTTTAGATTCATAAGCAATGAGGCAGAAGATAAATATGCTTGAGTCAGATTGGGAAGTGGGATATTTTCTGAGATAATTGCTCTCATTGATACAAGGTGCTTTCCACATGAAAGCAGCGTGCTGACCTGACAGCACCTGCCCATCAGGGTTGCAGGTTGATCCTCCTTTAAACATCCTGCAGGGATTCAGACACTATTAGCCCCTGTTTACAATGATCCTTTCACAACCCAAGTTGGTATAGTTTGCTCAATACCATACCTGCTGTGTGTGACTTAATAGGTATAATTGTTTTGAGGCAAGGAGACTGACCCATGGATTGCAGAGCCCAAGGGCCCACCTTCAGTCGAGCATGGGAACTGCTGCCAGGTCTTAAATCCCAACACAAACCAACAGATGCATCATGTGAGTGGAGATTTCTGCTATGGCCCTGCCTAGACTAGGGGAAAAACTCTTTTCAGTCAGTTTGGGTGGACTTCTTGATTTCCCAAGGAGCCAGTCAAACTGATTGGAGATAACTGTTTTATAAGTCCCCTATACCTCAGACCCAGCTCTGGTCTAGAAACCACGGGCTTATATTCAGACCAGGTATCAACGGGTGTGAGGCAAGTATAACTGATCTGGATACAGAGCTGTATTTGCTTTCTTAACTGCTAAAGTGGGACCAGCCCTTTTTATCTTCAACCTAAACGTTGAAAAGTGCATTTTTTTTTTTGTTGTGGTGTTTTTTTAACTAAAGTACTTCTACTGCAGCAACTCTAAATATACTGCCTTCAACCTGCCGTATGTCTGTGTCAGTAAAAATTCTGTATTGTTCGTGGAAACATAAGGTCTTAGTAAATGGAAAAACAGATATTATGTGAACCGTTTGCCTTAAACCAGCATTTTTTCTGCATTGTCTAAATAGAAAAGAGATGTTCGGCAATGACGTTTTAGGTAGAACCACTTAAATGAAATTAAGTACTGTTATTTAGCAATATTATAGCTTGCTGTTGTAAATTATAACTTGGCTGTCTATTAAGATTATAAAAGAGAATGGTGCTTTCTTCTGAAGTATATTGTAGGTTTCACCAGAAGGCCAAGCATGGGTGTCTGCAGAGAGCTTTTGGATTTGGAAGGTGTCTTGCTTTGATGAGGTTGAAGAAGGAACCGTGTCAAGAGAGCTTGATGCTTAAGGCTAGTACCATGCTTCTGGCATTAATACAGGGTGATACACCTTCTGTACCCCTTTTGAAAAAAGATCTTGGAACTTAATGAAAGGAAATAACGCCACACTAATCCCTCTTTGTACTGTCAATCAGAGGAATGCAGTAATGAGAAACTGAGTGACTTGACTAAAGCCAGGTGAGGAGCTTGTAGCAGTCAGAAGCAGATCCAAGCTCCCAGCTGCCGGGCCTAATCACTGAAATGATGCTTGTTCTGTTGACTGTGGACAAATGTGTGAACAGTTCTCGATGAAGCGGGTTATCACTGTGAACTGGTTTGGGCCCATGCTTACCTACTGACCGTGCAGATAGAGAAGGTATATGTTTTGGCCTTGGTCACCTCATGTGGGTTAGGATTGCAGAGGTTCACATCCCTGTCCCATAAAATGGATGATATTCCCCAAGGTTAGTGGGAGTCTAATACCACATTGAAATCAGTGATACTCTTCTCATGATAATATAGGGGAAACTGCTCCTGTCTCTATTGACAACGTCAATTTTCTATTTCTTCAGTTTGAAGTACACAGGAGGAACAAAGTGTGCTACAGAAATGATAGTGTCAGGGTTCTGATTCACTAGTGGGGGTGGCATAGCACGGATGACTTCACAGGTCCCGGCTGTCCACCACACCTCACACCTCGTTCCTGGGCAGCTGAGCCACCGTGAATCAGCTGCTGAATCACTTGGTTTACAGTGTGATGTTTTGAAGTCAACCATCACTGCTGTTCGCTTGCCTTAAAACTCCTGGCTGCAAACTGCAGCAATTCATCAGCTGATTGATGAGCAGCCACTCGACTCTCTGCTCAGCAGCATGGGAGGCTGGGTTGGTAGCCTTCTCGGGTCTATAGAGCACTGCACCTTGCTGGCGGACGGGAGCCCTGACAGAGCCAGTCTGCAGCTGGCTGGATAGAGAGGTGAGATTTTATTTTTTTGTGACTGTGATATTTAAAAGCCCTCCATTCCAAATAGAACAGATGGCAAAACTCTTCTGTGTTTCACTGAGTGCAATTAGGGGAATGCTGTGTACTTCTGAAAATCCCGCCCTGCTTCAGTAAATTAAAAAAGCATGAGGCTTGAGTAGTGTGCTTGTGTTTTCTTTGCATTTAATATACTTGTTCTCTTATTTCAAACTTCTCAATTTTGCTATCAGCAGTTCCAGCCAATTTCTTAACACTTTGTGCCGGCCAGCCAGCAGGCTGTATGCCTTTCCTGATGGTATTTGATTTTGAACAAAATTTAACATGTAGGACTAAGGAGTTCATACTCAGCTTGTGTATTGGTTTTGTTTTAAACAAAGTCCATGGAGGATAGTCCATTTATGAATTTTTCTAAAGGAAATAGATCTGAGGCAGGTGGGGAGAAGTAATCAATCCCAGTGTTGGTTGTCTATCAAAACTTCCTTTGCTTTCAGTCCAGCTGTCTGCTCATAAATTTTGGTACAAAAGAGTAGCTACGTGTGTTGTTTAAGATGGGTGGTATTTCAGTGCATGCTTTGGCTGGTCTGAGGCCTTTGTGCATCCTTTCCTATTTCCCTCATCCTGTAAATCACTCGAGTTTTACAGGAGTTGCTGTGGAGCATGCAATTTGACTGGACTTCTCTAGAATCTCTGGTGGCTTGTGACATATAATTACTGCTGTGCTAATCCATCATGTCACTTATAATAGATACTTATCCTGTATGGCTTGGTTTAAACTTCTCCTCTGAAACCAGAAAAAAAAAAAAGTGGGATTACTGAAGAGATTTACAAGATTAAAAAAAATACATTAATGGGAGAACAGCCTTATTTTGAACTAAAAAGTAAAATGTTAAAAAGACATCATCCAGATGAAGAAATTGCCCATAAATTAAAAAATAACTTTAAAATGAACTTATTAAAAAAATGAATCAGCCTGTAATGGAGCATACTTCATATAGTGTTTTTTTTAATAATTGTGGCCTCCTCAGTTTTAACATATAGATAGAAATTGCAGCTGTGTTGTGATCATAGTAAGATACAAGTGTGTTGAGAAAGCCAGTATGTTATACATGTGGTCTTCTTTTCATGTTCTATGTTCCAAGGCTGCTGCTTTTGTGTGTCCATTTATACAAATAGTTTTGTGTGTTTTGGTTGGGAGGAGCATATATCCTGTCCTCTGCCTTGGCTTGGGTAATTTTCCTGCAATTGGGATTTTTGCCATGATGTAGTTTGCCTACATGCTTGGCTGGCACTGCAGCAATGCTGTGGCACAGACACCCTCAGCATCACTCTTCTGCCCCACCAAAGAAGAGCATAAGGAAGGGGTATCACATTGGCATCAAGAGGAACTTGTTTGCTTTCTTCCCTTCTTCCACCCTTGCAGATTTTGAGAAATTCAAGGCATTCTTAAACCCCCTGCACTTTTCCTAATGCTCCCAAGCATACACACAAATGCATTCATATCCATCACATTTTTGCAGTTTAGTATCCAAGGACTTTAGTTTCGAGTGATTCAGGATCCACTTAATTACTGTGCCAAAGTTCTCATATGTGAGTGATCAGTCAGCAGTGCTGCATCTGACCTTCCCACATCATCAGCTGGATCTATTTATAGATCCAAGAAAGAGTTCCTTTTGCACATTCAGGAGGAAGATGCCTTTCATTGAAATTCAGTTCCTGGTCTGTTCTTTGCTTACTGGGGTTTTTCTTTTTCCTTTGCAGCTTATTGTTGCCTGGGTAATTTTTCTGAGACCTTTACAAAATTGTTCACTTTACAAAATTGTTCCTCTCCTGTTTTAGTGAAAATGAAGGAGTATCGCAAGGCTCAGTCGTGTGTGCTGTCTGCCTCAGGACTTTGCTTGCCCTGCCAGAGACTGCAATTCACCGGTCTCTGCTGTGTGCAAAAATATATTCCTACTGTTATGTCACTGTCTAGCTGTATCACCTACGGATAGTTTAGTCCTCCTGTTACTCTGTGGTGGATTCCTTCTGAGTGCTTTTAATCTTGCTCTCCATTTCAGCCAGGAAATAGCCCATGTCACTCCTCTTTCCATCTCCTATGTGAGTATGAAATATCATTCTGTACTCTGCCTCTTACAAGAGACAGTTGATAAGAAGTATTTCAAGGAAGGACAATATATAGGAAAGAACTGTAAGTCAAAGGTGGTGCCGAAGTCACGCTGCTAGAACTGTATGGCAAATTCTGCATGGAAGAATGGAAGCAAGAGGACTTGAGATGGTATAGTTAGAAGATCTTAGTTTCTGCAAGTAAGGCATATGAAACACAAACACCAGTCTGGGAGTTTTTCAGGTTTCTTATCTTCTCAGTAGCTTGAGCTGTAGAATTTCACTTTACCTTTCAGTGCAAAACCAAATGCATTGTAAGCAAAGCAAACACACCCAGCTGTATGGAATGCAACCAGTGGTCTCTATGGTATGCTTTTGTTTTGGGTAGCCTGTGTCATTGTCTAAAATACTCCACACTTTTCAGAAACACTTAAGAGAAAGCTGGATGTCACTGGCAGGCACCCAGTCCCCACTTCCTTTCTATATGTGAAAGCCAAGGCTCATTCTGACTTGCTTAGACTTTCCCAGGTTGGTTCCAGGTGTTAAGATTTGTAGTCCTTTCCCCAGCAGTCTTTTGGTTTGCCATACCTCAATTTTCTAATGGCAGCAGTAAGAACAGTGGGAGATCGTAATCACCTGCTAAATGTGGTTTGGGGTTACTGACTCACTGGTGAAACAGCTCTGAGGGGATATAATTGCACACCTGAGGTCTGCATCTTTTATGAGGAGGTGTGCCTTGGGACTCAAATTCAGTCATCATTCCTCTGGTTGAGGGGTGTAGGATGGGAAATACCTGCACATAACAGAGGAGATAAAAATGTTTGGCAGTGGGTTTAAAGGCACCTTCCATGGTTACTATTGAACCCCTCAGTGGGTGCTTCTATAAAGGATATGAGTTGTCCATGTTTTTGGTTTTGTTTTAGACAGCTGATGTGCAGACTGAGATCTTTAATGTAAATGAAAGGAAAACAAGCCAGTGCAATCTTTTACTGTTGCTAGTAGAAAACAGATTTTTTTTTTTTTTTTTTTTTTCTGTTGCTGAACACAGAGGTTTGGAAAAGCACTTGGTGGCCTGGAAGCTGCATCTGGTTCTTTTAGTTTTGCCAAACTGGAACTCAGCTCCTGCAGGAAATGGTGGGGTTTTGACTGCATCGTCTTTGGCTCTGGTTTTCTATTTACACTACTGCTACTGGGAAGGTTGAGAGCTCTTCCTTGCCAGAGGCTACTCAGAGTCATAATTTAGACCTTAATGCCCAAGATCTCACATTCTCCATAATGACACTAAATGCAGAAAAAATGTTTTATTCCTCTTTCCGCAATGCAGAGTTATTGACTTCTCTCTGTCACAGGAGAATATCACTGGTAGAGCAAGGAAATTATTTAATTGCTTTTTCCTTCAAGTCAGATCTTTAACAAAAAAAAAAAAAAAAAAAAAAAAAAAAAGCCACTCTCTTCCTTCTTAAAAAAAGAAAGAAGAAAGAGAGGAGAAAGAAATGTTTTCCGTGTTAGTGATAGCCAAATGTTTCCAAAGCCCAGTTAAAACGTTGCAGTTTTAACTCAGGTTGTTTTCCACTAAAATAATATTTCCTGTCTTTATTTCTAGTTCCTGCTTGTCAGATATTGTATTGCTGTGGTTTATCAATATTCTTAGGTCCCAAGATACCTCTGCTCTGTATACTAAGGCTCTGTGGACCAGATTCTGCTCTGTGACCAAATCTGAGTTCCACTCACGTTATTCCAAAGGCATGTTTTGCTGTTATGTGTTTAGCTCCTGAGCTAATTAGAACTAAGCATGCTGCTTTGTGTCTCCACCTCCATATAAAATACAGCAAAGAGTCAAGGTCAAGGTAATAAAGGAGTCCTGCTGGAAAAGTACATGTGTTGCTTGAATCATCCTGTTGGCTATGCTATATTTATCTCTGTCACACTTTGGTATCATCCCTTTTCATCACATGGAGAACATGTCCTGTGTTTTGTTCACTTACAAGTGAAATCCTCAGTGTTTGAATGCAGAGCATACAGAACATCTCTTAGCTAGTGCAACCTGATGTCTCACTGAAGCAGAAATGAATCATCTGTATCAAGCAGCATCCACAAATAGATAGCAAACAAGTGAGCCAATATGTATGTTTCAGGGCCAGACTTTTGGGAATTTTATTTTATCGTTATGAATCAGTGTATCTATTAATGACCTGAGGACTTTTTTTCTTTTCTCTTGATGGGGCACTAGGAGGCTCTGTGTGTCTGAAATTTAGTTTTTTCTGAAGAAGGATGCACATGGTCATGGGAGTAATTGTTGTTCTGAGGGTTAGGGGACTGAAAACTTCAAAAAGGTCTCCTTCCATTTGGGAATTAGTTATTAGAATTTAAGCGCTGCCCACTGACCTTCTAAAAAGCCTTGTATTTTAATGGGCAGTAACATATAGTGTGCATGTGTAAAATACTTTGAAGAAAAATCCTTCTGTGAATCATACCTGTTTCAGTTCTTACCATGCTGGAAGTTAGTGGTATGGTAGAAGTGGAGGTTTTTCCCTAAGCATTGAACCACCAACGAAGTGAGATACTGCCTGAGCCTGCTCTGGGTGGCGAGGGTTATATGGAATCACAAGTAATTGCTGGCTCAGCTGGCTAAAACCTCTGCAGATTCCAGTCTTACCCTGAATTGGTCTGTTTTGGTTAATACAAGAGAGATCTGGATTGAAACAGCTACTCTCCTTGGGTTTTTACAGTGACAATATTAATGCCAAGTTGTTTTGCAAATGCAAACTAGCCTTTCTCACATTCCTTGTAGAGTATTACCTTGGAGCCACAGGGCTACAAATATTTGATGGTGGCGGTGTTTACACACGGTCCACTACCACTTGCCTTCTGGCTGAATACTTTACTACAGTGGCTGAAAAGACTTCTGAATTTGTGTGCAAGGAGGACATCCTTCAGCACTAGTAGGGTGCAGAATATTTTGGATTTGTTCAAGTCTGTGGTTTGTGATTAAAACATGGGCAGCTTTACACAGTATGAAATCCTAGGAAGTGCTACAGAAGGTTCCTGTCAGCTCCTTAGTAATATTTTGTTTTTTATACTTTGCTAGCATTGCAAAGAGCCTGAAAGACCAAGAGACTTTATGCATCAGAATGCTTTATTGTTGCAGAGTGTGGCCATGGTTGGGTTGCACCTCACTTGCCCAGTGATTTGAACTTTCTCGTAGGAGAACCTTGTTTTGTTCAGTCTTGCGCCTCATGCTCTTCTGCTGTGGCACATGTATTTACTTTATTCTTCTCCCAAGTCATTGGGCTAGATGGAATTGAATTGATGTTCAGACAGCTGCACAGAGTGACTAATGGCACTTTCCAGACATTGAGGCTCCTCACTCTTTCCCATTTTGATACAGATATCTTTTGGCATCTCACAAAGTGGGATTAGCACCGGCCATGTAGGCCAGGAGGCTCTTTTCACCATCCCCCTCTGTCTTTGCAACTGGTTTTGGCCTTCTCTTACTGTTTATTTACTGAAACCCTCAGTCTTGTGCTGGTTTGAATGCCTCCATTGTCTGGCCATGCTGCCAGCAGCAGCAAGTCTGTGGTTCTCTGTGGGGTGTTTCAGGTCCCCAGGAATCTAGCTAATAACTTAATAGCTTCTCATCTCCACTGAGCTCACTGAAAAGTTCTTTGTTGTGAGTTGCAGAGCACACAGATGGCAGCACACTATTTATCTCCAGGCTGTCACATTGCTAGTTGTTCTCAAAATGGGGTGCCTTCGCAGGCTGGTGTTCGCTGAAGTCTGTGGCTTTAAAGAACCTTTTCCCAAATAGGATTTGATGCAATGGAGAGAAAAGCAACAGCATCTGCACTTACAATGATGGCTCAGAGGCATTAATGCTTTCTCAGGCACACACACATGCTCTGTTAACACACAAGCAGGGCAGCCTGTGGATATTATCTTCTCAATTTGATCTCCCTTGCCTCCCAGTTGTGGGGAGGATAGGAAGCAGTGTGCAATACCTTTTTGCATTTGATCTGTCTGCTCCCTGAATGTGGCTGGCCCATTAGCACTCACAGCCCACTAACTGCTGTAGCAGAGTTAAAGCCAGCACATATTTGTGGTTAAAATTGAGCGCAAACTTAGCTTTCAGTCAAGGATATAAAACCCAGTTTCCTTAAACTGACAAGAACAGATACTCTCAGAGGGCAGGGGAGAGGAGAGAGGAAGAAAGGAGGGTAAAAGTCAACTCTTCAGTAATTGCAGAAATTTCATCTTTTCGCCTTTTCACATACTATGTCACCAAAAGAGGTCTCGAGTGCTCATAGCCCCCTTGCTGCCCACCCACTACTCTGGATGACTGAACCGCCCCTAGCACTGGCTGATCTTTTCCTTGGTAAGACATTTTTATTCCACAGGCACTGAGATGAAAACTGATGAGTAATTGCTTTGTTTTTCCTTAAGTATTAAGAAAATCTAAAGCTAGAAAACACAGGGCTGGATTTTTCATATTGTCACAGAATTTGGAGAAAGCGTTTAACAGATCTCTGACTCTGTTCGCATCTTTGGTATCACTGATGAACGTGGACAACATCGGTAAGCAACTATACATGGGCATATTTTTCCAAATTTCTGTGGAGCCACTCAGAGTGGATGAAGACAGATGCGCTGAAGCATCAGGCATTAGCCTGGGTCGCACTTGTCACAGTATAATTGGAAAAACCCAGCACTGATTTGCCAGGGTGGAGTTGGGAAATTGGAGCTCTTGATTGTAGTTACATGGCTGCCATGTTGCATAAAGAGACTGTCCTCACACATAACCTCTTCAGGCCTTCACTTCAGTCTCCCCCTTGCACTGCCCGGGGCTGCATCAGCCTGAACACACTTCCCCATCAGAGTGCTGCTCTTAGGTAGCTACTGCCAGGGTTTGCACAGAGCTGTCAATGAATGTTATGCCACGTCCCCAAAAGCTTTACAGGAAGTTTGAGTTCCCAAAACCTGTCAGGATTCTTGTATGCTCCTTCTAACTCTTAACCTTGACCTCCTGTCTGTCATTTAATGAAGAAACAGCAAGATATAAAAGAAGCACCTGGCAATTGCAATAAACAGTCAGTGATGAGAGCCTGTGTTAGCCCTTTCCTGAGAAATCTGCACGGGCTGGAAGAGAGTACAATCTTTACTGCTGTGTGCAAACAACCTGGGGTATGTCTTTGGGTTTCCTTCCTTGTGGAGTACTATCTCTGGAGTGTAGAAAACCTCTTACATTGCACCTTGTGGTAATTATCCCATATCTCTTTTGTGTGTCTCCTCAGGAAAGGATGCCACAAACACCTCCCTTTGCAGCTATGTTTGACAGCAGCGGCTACAACAGGAACCTGTATCAGTCAAAAGAGGACAACTGTGGAGGGCTCTATTACCATGACAACAACCTCCTGTCAGGGTCTCTGGAAGCTCTGATCCAGCACTTGGTACCCAATGTAGATTACTATCCTGATGTAAGTCTAGACACCCAGCTAACTATATAGCTAGGCCTGATGCATCTCATAAAGAGGAACTCTCACATGTACAGCAAAAGTAGAATGTGTCACATCAGCTTTCTAAGGAAGGGGAGTTCAAGTGACTGATTAGCAGTGGTAGAATGAACATGTGCTTCATGTGAGTGCAGCATGCAGTAACTCACCTGACCTAGGAAGCCTAATTCTTCTTTACTCCTGTTGTGAGGTGCACAACGCTGGTCTCATTTATAAAGTACCTAGTGTGGCTAACTGTTCGATGGACTGTGTGTACCCTTTAAAATCTGTCAGGCAAGATGAGGAGAAAGGCATGACCTCTGTCGTGACAATATGAACGTATTTAGATTAAAACCAAAGTTTTTTAAATACTTATTTCCCATTGTTCATCTGAGGTCCACATGTATCCTGCAATTAGCAACTAGTTGAACTAGTACCGCACTGTTTGGAATCACCAGAGGCTGGACACAAGAACAGGACATTTGTCATCTGAGAATTTTTGGCCTGTCTAGATGCATTGAGACATTTAATATAATCCTTAGAAAAGAAGAATGATATCAAAACATTGGGGCGGATATGAGGCATTGGGGAGAGTTGGGGAAGGCTGAGGAGTGATGAAGCTGCAACTCTGCTTGTTGAAGGGATCTTGCTGAAGACATAACTGCTTATATTCACTTTCTCTTATTGTCATAGGTCTATTCATGTTTCCAAGATACAATCTTTTCTTACTTGGATCAGAGTTAACAGCAGCACAGGACTGTGCTTAAACTAGTGCTTAACCATTACTGCTTAATGTAAAATCCAAACATTTAGCAATTTAGACACCAGTTGGTCAAACATGATGATTTATTCCAGGTCCCTAGGACTGGAACATTGTAGAATCTTTCTTGTGGGTGCCATAGATACTTAACTACTGGCAATGTAGAGAGTGAAGTGGATATTTTGAATATCCATCTCACAATGAGTTCAAATCATGATATATGGAAAATTAAAGCAAAACAAAGAGCTTCTTCTTGTAACCTCAGACTGGGTTATTAATTTTTGTTCTGTAAAATTAAGCTATGTAGTTCCCTCCACTTTCACCCAGGAGACAAGCAATACTATGAGAAATGAACAGTATCTGGGGATTCTTAAAGGAAGTACAAGTTCATAGCATGTGGTTTACTGAGGTCAGACGGGCAAACACAATGTAGTAAAAACGGTGTGTGTAGCAAAATTGAGTCAGTGCAACAGTCTGGTCAACTGGCACCTTTTTTTGTTCTTTTTCTGAAAACTATTTACTTTCAGTAGCAATGTGGAAGCAGACAAGATTTCTCTGTTGATTTGATACTCTAAGTAGCTTGGACTTGCAACATGACTTATTCCATTGTCGGACTAGAAAGAGTGATGTAATCTGGTAATGGCTCTCGCAAAGATTTACTGTAGAGCTAGATAATGAGCTGAAGTTTTATTCTGTGTAATTTCAGGTACTGAGCTTGTAATGGGGCTGTGTGCAATAGGAGAGCTAACGCAGCCCTGCTCTGCCTTGTTTTGCATAACTTTGCTGAAGCACAAATTTATAATGCTGATTCTGGAGCAATGACAATTATTAAATTAAGGGCTTACTGCTGTAATAATAGCTCTTGTCACAGCCACATGCAGAGTTTTCTTCTACAGATTGTAAAGTATTAAGAACTGATTTGTCAGGAACACATTTTGAGAAAATATAAAACTGGTGGAAATTTATCCTTATACCTTTCTCTGTCTTACTCTTGTTTGAAGAGGACATACATCTTCACCTTCCTTCTCAGTTCACACCTGTTCATGCATCCATATGAGCTCATGGCCAAAGTTTGCCATCTGTGCATCGAGCAGCAGAGACTGAGTGAGCCTGGCCTGGACAAGGTAAGATCTCTTATTCTCAGGGACTCCTGTTAGTTCCACTCAAATATGTCCACCCTGCCTGCAGAAAAATGTTCCTACTCAAAAGAGTCCTCGATAGGATTAAACAGATTGAAAACCTGATACAAGCACATAGAATTTGACCCTTTATTCACTGACATTTGGGGTTAATTTCCACACTGTTCAGCCTGTCCTCCGTTAAGACTGTTGCTGCTGCAGTTTGTTTTACCAATATATGGGCCAGAAATAAAAGTGCTTGCTGTTAATGACATATCCTGCACTGGACCTGCAGCGGTTGCTTTTGTTTCCAGGTTCCAAATGTCTTGACATATAATACCAAAATGTTGGAAAGACATAATGATGAATTAAGCATTTTGATGGGAATTACACTGACCTGTCTTGCATTCTTGCTACAGTCTTTGTGAGTGGCTTAGATTGCTGGCCACTTTGTATGTCATGTCTAGATTCGAAAGGGAGCGGGATGTGCACATTTGGAGAGAACCTCCAACCCAGTAGAAAATGACACAAATTAAATTAAGATACTTGAATAATTCTACTGCTTTCTCACTATAAAGTATAGTGTGTGCATAAGTCTTGGCAGAACTGGAGCTTATCACTTTAATTGTTGAAAGTTAGACAAAAGTTATGGAAACACTAAGTGTCTTGCACTGAGACACTTCTGATAATGAGGGGAATAATTCTAAGATTTCCACCTACTTGGGGCCTAATTTCCATGTTGGTTAAGCCAACAAGAATCTCTTCATTGGCTTTAATGGGTATTGGCTCCTGCCTATAATCCAATGCTGAATTAAGTTAAACTTAAAAATTTAACTGACCTTCATACCCTTATGCTCCACAGTATCCTACAGAAGGGAATTCTATTTCTTTTGAATTAGATATGTGCTGTATTGCTGTTACATGTAACATTCCTCCTTACCATTTTCAAATAGAACCGGATACAAAAAATTGCACCCAAAATCCTACAGTTGTTGACTGAATGGACAGAGACATTTCCTTATGATTTCCGAGATGAAAGAATGATGAGGAACTTAAAAGAGTTGGCCCAAAGAATAGCCAGTGGTGATGAGGTAAGTTGTCTGTACACAAAGTTACTGGATAAAAAGGCATTCCTTTAATGCGTTGATATTGTAGGTTTGTTGTTGTTAATAACATGGTATGGCTCTGGGTGGCTAAGCTAACTTATTATGAAGGTGCTGGTAGGCAGAAAGTTCTGTCTGGTACCTAGACCTAGGAGGAAACCACACAGCATAAGCAGATATTTTCCAAAGTACGGGCAAGGTTCACTCCATTCCTAAACTCATAATTTCATATTGTGCAGACACAACTTGGTAGCTGTTAGTATTTTTCATTTTAGTGAGTCTGGTTGGAAGAAGCTAGGTAAGATGCTGGGAAGCCTTGCGTATCTGACAAATCCCTACTGATGCTGACAATTTCTTCAATTTGTGTGTGTAAGGTGTGTTGGAATCGAGCCTCTGACCTGTAGGTCAATGGAAGGGTTATAGCAGGTTTGGGGAAAAAGTTTCTGAAAGAAAACTGTACCAGGAAGAATTGTCTTGCGCTTAAAGCATCAGATATAGACAGAGAGGTAGTCTCCCATATTCCTGCCTCTGGATAGAGCACATGAGGAAATCACTTGACCTTTTTCTAAGTCCCAATTCTCAGATGGAAGTAAAGTTTCACAGAAGTATTGTGAAATATTTTGATGCTTAACTGATGCTTGGCTTGTAAGTACTGAAATAAACTCAGCCAAAAGCCAAGACTTATATTCACTTAATGGAAAGGCAGTTAACAAGGTTTCAATAAGTAGATCACATGTAGTTGGCGCAATACTAAGATTACAAAAGTTACTGGAGTGGCATTTAGAAGAGCTATAAATACAAAGAGCACTTGCTGAATGGCATCACGTTTCTAGTGTTCCTCAGGGGCTAGTGTTCCTTATATAAGCTTTTAAATAATAATATGGACAGGGCAGCAAACGGCATGTTAACAAGCATGTAGGTAAGCTTTACTGAGAGGAGTTGTTAGTGCTGCCAATGGCCTGGAAGGATCTTGAGAGACTGTAAACAATGGTGGAAAAGAACAAACCTAAACTGAATTTGGAAGCTGAAATACATTTGCATTTTGTGAAAGTGGGGAGGGACTAAAGAAGATGGGACAAGAGAGTGAGATGCAGTGTGGAATAGGGACAAGAAAGTGAGATGCAGTATAGAATACAAATGAAAATGATACCAAATTTGATGAACGAGCTTAGAGATGCTGCAAGATAGCTACAGGGGGCTTTGGGCTGTGGGGAGCCGATAGGTTTGCCTTCACTGTGGGAGTGCCAGAAGGCACCTTTTTCTGTACAGTGCTCCTGCACTGTTGCTTTGTTTCTGGGTACTCTTAATAAGAAGATAGGGAACTGAAGTTCTGTTCAAGGAAAAGTAGTAAGATTGAGGACTCACACTCACTTGAAAAATACCCACTGACACAAAAAGAGAGACCTCTTTAGCCTGGGGGAAGTTGAGTTGGTGGATGCAAGAGTGAAATGACAACAGGGAAGGGTTGTCTACAGTGAAGTTTCTGGCAATACAGACAGCTTAAACTGTGAAATCATTTACTGAGGGGAAAGGAAAACATAGAAACTGCTAGAAAATGAGCGCTAGGGAGCAATCTTACTCTGGCAGTGGGCTATAGATCTTTTCTAGCTCTAGCTTTGAGCTTTTTTTGACTTTGAGGTTTCCTTTAGAAAAACAAAGGGAAAGCAAGTGCCGCAGTAAATTGACTTGTGTTATTGTGAACTGCTTGGAACAGTAAATGGCAACTTCCTTGACCTTGCTTTTCTGCAGACTGCTTGTGTTTGTGTGAGTCATTACCTTCAACGATACAAAAGAGGTGGTGTTTCCTACTTCTGTTCACTATAGCTCTTCTACTTGTAGCTTCTTAATTCACTTCTGGAATTATTGTGCTCCAGTACTGTTAGGAGCTATCAGTAAGAATCAAACTAAAACCATTCACCATGCTAACATATTGCTCCATCAGAAAAATATGTTTGGAAAAACCTTGGTGGGTTTATTTTTTTCCCCTTCTTCTCCCTCAATTTAATTCAATTCCTCCCACTTTTCCCCCCTCTGTGTCCTGAAAGGTCATTGTGCTCATGAGATATTTCTAAATTGTTCTCATTCCTTTTACCACTTACCTGTCCTTTATTTCAAGGTATATCTTTTGAAATCTTTCCCATCAGCCGTTGCCTCCCATTTCCTGATTAGTTCCATATAAACATTTATCAGTGCCTTTTTTTGTGAAACACTTGATGAGTGTATGCAGTCAGACCAAAGCCACGTCCTGTATCCTGATCTCTTTTCATGTGCAGCCCAACATTGCACTGACCTATCTTTTTTTTTTTTTTTTTCCCACCATGATATCATATAGTGAGATTGACTGTTGAAACTCATTTAACATGGGATATTCCATATCTAGCAGGTAGTAATGGTACTTCCAGTCACTATCCATATAGGACAGACACAAAAGAGTGACCTTAAAGTGGAGTGTCTCATCGCTTTCTCTCATGCTGTCCAATCCTCAGAGGTTTTTAAATATAAGTAAATACCATCGTTGTCAGTGTGGATATAGAATCAATAATGAGACTGTGGGAGAAATAAGTGAAAAAGGTAAACCTAATTTAGAGGAAGACCATATGTTTAGGCTGACTGGTAGCCATACTACAATCAAATTTATATCTAATTGATAAAAGACATATTCTGTGAGTTCATTGGTGTGTTGTTAAGTATCTATCTATCTATCTATCTATCTATCTATGATATTAAAAAAATGCATGAGTTTAATAGTCCAGCAGCAAATACGTTATGTGTGCAAAGTGCAGTACATACATATACTCACACAGAATGCTTTGAGGTCACTGCCTCTTTGCTCAAGAGGAGACTGAAGCTCAAAAGAGCAGAGGGATGCTGGTTTTGTGGGCTCAGATACATCAATGAGGTGTGAGAGGAAACTGTCATTTCCTTCTGCCTCTGTGCCAAGAGAGTTTTACCTCATCACTGGACAGAGGGATATTTGTTATGTTGAACTGCTGCTAGATCAGATATGGGCTGATTACCATGATTTCTTATTCTGGTTTGAAGGGTATCTCTGCCAGTTTGCCTTATCTCTGGGGTTTTCCAGCTACAGAAACAGATTGACCAGAATTAGGTGGTTCAGCTTAGTATCTTCACCCATTTTCTCCCTGATTTTGTTGTCAGTTCTGGGTTGACATGAACCACAAATTCGGGCAAGGTTTATTTTTTTGCTTCAAAGCTTAACCCACTGATTATTACATGATTTACATCAGTAGTCAGAATTCATCCTGAGTGTTTTGGATTTTTTTTAATTCTCAGTTGAATATCAGCTGGGCAAGAAAATGATTCATAAAGTTCTCTTACATTAAATCTCAAAGAATTTGGAAGGGAATGGATCAGTGAAGCAAGTGTCGTGGTTTGAGCTCAGAGGACAACTGAGCACCACACAGCTGCTCACTCCCCTCTTCCCCGCAGTGTTGGGAAGAAGAAAATAAAGCAAAAGTCTCTGGAATCAAGATAAGGACAGGGAGGGGTGACTTGTCCATTATGGTCATGGGCAAAAGGGCAAAAGACAGACTCATTCATTAGGGGAAGAAAAAAACCCATAAATTTAATTCAGACACTAACAACAACAACATTTAACACACAGAGTAGGACAGTGAGAAGCATTGCCACATCTTGAAAACACCTTCCCTCCACCCCTCCCTCCTTCCCAGGCTCAGCTCTGCTCCCAATACGTCTACCTCCTCCCCCCAGCGACACAGGGGGCAGGGAATGGGAGGTGCAGTCAGTGCTGCCACTTCTTCCTTCTCAAGGAGGGGGGAGTCTTCGCATTTTCCCCTACTCCAGAGTGGTTCCACTCTCGCAGGAGAGAGTCCTCCACAAACTTTCTCCGACATTAGTCCCTCCCATGGGCCACAGCGCTTCCTGAGCTGCTCCAGCATGGGTCACCCCCATGTGTTGCAGTCCTCCCAGCACCAAACTACAACAGGGGGAACTGCTTCTTCCCACAGAGTCCTGGCCTCCTTCGGGCACAGCCACCTGCTCCAGCGTGGGGTCTTCCACAGGCTGCAGGTTGGCATCTGCTCCACCACAGACCTCCATGGCTGGTGAGGGAGGGGCAGCCCTGCCCTCTCACCATGGGCTGCAGGGGGGCTCTGCTCCAGTGCACCCCTCCTCCTCCTTTCTTCCACTGACCTCAGTGTTTCCCAAGGTGTCTCCTCCTCTCAACTCCAACTCCTCCTCCCAGGTTCCCCTTTTTATAATACGTTATTGCAAAGGTGCAGCTAATTGTCTAAGCCTTGGTGCAGAAGTGTGTCCAACTTGGAGTCCGGGGAGCTCCAAGGAGCTTCTCACAGGGGCCACCACTGTAGCCCCCCCCCCCCCCCAAACACAGCAAGTCTCTGTGTGTGTCACCTAACACCTGTTGATGTAAGTGTAGCACCTGAAGTAATGCTTCTGTGTCTTCCTGAGGAAAAGGTAGATCCCCTTGTTCTCTTCATACCCATCCCAGTGAAAAATTATGCTGTGCATATTTGTCTAGAAAATCAAAATACATCAAAACAGAAAGCAATTATTTACCCAGTAGCAAAACAGTTTCAGCCTTGGTTGCATGCAACTGACTTCAACAATGACTCTGACCCAAGATAGTGCTGTTGTATTTGAGTAGATTTGGAAATCTGTATAAGTGGCAGCTTTGAAGGGAATAAGAATTTTGTTAGAATACAGGAAACATTCCTGCCTTGGACTGCTCACACTATACTGTGCTGCCAATAGGTTTTGCATGCTCCTTTTTTCAGCCACTTAGGATGGTATCTGGAATTTGGAATAGTAACTACCTTGGGGTCAGTTACACAGATCTATCTACTTAAGAGTCAAATCCTGCTCCTATTTAAATTTGTCACTCCTGTTAACTTAAATCGTCACACGGAAAGGCCTGCAAGGTGAAAGAAAAGAGAGATGGTTGCATTATCTTCTCTTTTTTCTCTGTTTTACTGCAAGTCTTAACTCTGACTTCAGTGAAACTTGTCTATGATTTACTCCAGAGAGAAGCAGGCCCTTTTTTCATCATTGAATGACCATATATCTTTTTTTTTCCATGGCCTTAAGCAGGAGACGATGGAACATTTGCATTTCTTGTATTTTGTCCAGTGATTGGTGGTACTTTTCATGCAGTAAATTGTGCGTGTCTTTTCTGCTTTTCCTTGAGCTAACCAGGTTGCTCTCGAATCTATGAGACAATCAGTGGTTAAATTCTTGACTGAATTCCTTTTGGTCTGATGAAATGCCAATGTTAAAAACTCATGTAGTGGAGCGTATCTTAACTTGGCAACAAACACAGGTATCAGCATCAATCTGTTTTGGTGACATGCAGACTTTAATACTATCGTTTCACATTTTGAAAATGTCTCCTGATTGTTTCATGGCGTGACAGATGTATCGGAAGAACGTACAGCAGCTCCTCCAGAACTTGATCCGGAAGCTTGCCACTGTTAGCCAGTATGAGGAAGTACTTGCAAAAATTAATGCCACGTCCACAGATCGCCTCACGGTTCTGAAGACCAAGCCCCAATCCATGCAGAGGGACATAATCACAGTCTGCAATGATCCCTACACGTTAGCTCAGCAGCTGACACACATAGAGCTTGTGAGTTGTTATACTTCAAGTATGATTTCATCCTTCCCCTCTTTTTGAAATGCAGGTTAATATAGGATATGACTTGGCTGCTTGTGTGCTTTGTTTAGGAGAGACTCAATTATATTGGACCAGAAGAATTTGTCCAGGCGTTTGTGCAAAAGGATCCTTTGGATAATGACAAGGTAATTGGAGCAGATCTGGAGCAGCTTTGAACTGCGGCATTTAACATCCCAGAGCTCACATGCCCCATGAGCTGGAAGTGAGGTCCAACAATAAATGAGGACCAGCAGAAACGAGATTTATAATTAAAATGCTTTAGTAGTCCTCTTAAAAATTTTGTTGATGATTTTTCTTCCTGGAGGACAACTCCTGGAGCTCCAAAACTCAGCCAGCAAATGGACTTGAATTAACACGTTTGCTTTTTCTTCTGATTTAAGCTAAGTGAGAACTTAATCCTGTGAATGTTTTCTCTAGGCCACCTATGTGGTCTACAGCTGGAAAAAGATGAATTTAACTTTGGCTTTTGCATTACTCATTTGCAACATCTGTTTTTCCTTTTAGTAAACTGAACTCTTTGCATTAAACTGGGAAGTGGGGCAATTTGCAGGTAGAGGACACATCACAAAAAGGGGGCTGTGAGCTCTAGGTGCATGTGAGATGAAGCACAAAGACTCAGTGTTTTTAGCTAACCATGCTAGGGTTGTCATCTCCTTGAGTGCTGCCTTCAAGGTGACTTATGCTCTGTAAATAAACTGTGCCAAAGCCAGGCAGTTAAAACTTGAATTACTGTCCTACCTAAAACTGATAAACAGAATAAAATGACTGAAGTTTATAATTTGATGTTCAGTCAGACTGCCTCTGAAAATGTTTTTGTAGGTAGAGATCACTAAAACTGCTGTCTACGCCTTTTTAGGCAATCCTGAGATGTGGTGTGGGAATCATTCCAAGGCACTACAGAACAAATAGCACTAGTTAGGAAAGGGAGAATCTAAACATAGTGTGCCAGTGGAGTGGGCTGGCCTCTGTTTTCCTTCTGCACTTGCAGAGAGCATAATGTTGTCTCTACTATATCAACGGGACAAGAGTGAGGACTGAAACAGCGCTCATATTCAAGGAAGCTTTAAGTAGATACTAAGCTTTGATTGTTTGCATAAGTCGATCTTAAGTCCTTAAAGCGTCCTGGTAGGACTTAGAGCAGGTGAAGGACTCCACATGCCTGCTTGAGTGCTTTACTGAGCCAACAGCTCAGAAAGAAGCTATGCGTGCTCAAATATTATCACTGCTGCTTTCCCTCTTAAGCTTTTTCTCACTTTGGGTAATTGAGTTATTCCCAGTTACTTGATGGTGTTTGCGGATGGCAAGGTGGAAAGGTGTCTCTCAGGGAAAAGATGAAGATTACACTAAAGTTGCTATTTTTCTTCTGCCTGCAGAGCTGCTATGGAAATCGAAAGAAGACCCGGAATCTGGAGGCCTACGTGGAATGGTTTAACAGGCTCAGTTACTTGGTTGCAACAGAAATCTGTATGGTGAGCAAAGACATTTTCTGCTAAAAGATTTTCTTTAGTTGTTTAAAACTGTGAAGCCTTTCCAGGTGCCCCTTCAGTGTGCCCTTTACTTTTCATTCTCTCAGCTCTGTACTTTTTCCCACGTGGATGAAGTCAGCGCAGGGCTGAAGAGGAAACAAGTTCTGTGTTTTCAGCATCAAACTCCTGCTTCAGCCTTGTTCGTGTGACACAGTGGTGATGTTATGCTGGGTTAGCCATTCTTAGCAGAGGAGTGCATCTGGCCTGCCCTTCTCTCCTGTGAATACCCCATGTGAATGGAGGCATCTTTTTTCTCCTCTGTGCTGACCCCCTTCTCTGCTCTACTGTTCTTCATACCTTTCTTCTTGGCAGAGCTTTTTTTACCTGTTGTCCTTGCTCTCTATCTGCCTGGCATCTGGGTTGTCTTTGTTGTCCTGAAGGCTTTTGAACACAACAGTGTGGCTTCCTCTACATGTAAAGCATGGTGAGAAGTTGTGGTACATGTGGAAAAGACTTTTAACAGGGGTGTTGTTTCTTTTGTGGATGGGTCAGTGTGCTCTGTTTTCTGCTGAGCATAAATGATTCTGATGGCATCTCTTGCAGCCTGTGAAGAAGAAGCAGAGAGCAAGAGTGATAGAATATTTCATTGATGTGGCACGGGAGTGTTTTAACATTGGCAACTTTAACTCCTTAATGGCTATTATCTGTAAGTATGTGTCCTGAGATGTTCTGTCCCTGTTTGAGTGCAGATGAAGGAAGCATGGTGCCTTATACAAAAGTCTGCTGCTTAGCACACTCAGCAGTGTGAAGTTGGGAGGGGAAGTGGAGGAGAATTGGTCAACATTATTGTAGTGTTATGTGTGTAAGAAATTATTTACTGACATAGCGTAAATTACAAAAAAACAAAGTTTTCGTTGTAGCTGTTCAAAGTCCCCACTTTTTTAAACCAACTTTAGTGCTAAATTGGGATAGAAACTCTTCCTGTAAGATGGAGGATTAATGTCTCTGATCATTTCTATCATACCATAAATATTCTAGTAATTAAAAATTTCCACACCTTTTTTATATCTTAATAGGAAAATATCAGGAATATTTTTTAATTTGAAATGTGAGAACTTCATAGGTATGTGTAGTTTTCAGTGAAAGACATAAGAGATGGTGTTGAGGGAACTAATTTGTGCTCTTCTACTGTATATTATTGTTTTATCAAAACATTAAATGATGTCATAGCATTTTTTTAGACATTTCATTGTGTACGAGATGTTGATACTGTTTCCAAAGTTGCTCCTAATGATGGAAGTTCATGAAAATGATGAGTCTGATTTCTAAGTAGCTCTGCTGAAAGTATTTGTTATTGTTAATAGCTCCCTTGCTTTAGAAATACTTACTAGCCTTAGCTACTTGAAAGTTTTTATTTTTAAATATCCCAACAAATTCTCTCTCTTATATCAAGCTGGCATGAACATGAGTCCTGTCTCTCGGTTAAAGAAAACTTGGGCAAAAATAAAGACAGCCAAATTTGATATTCTTGAGGTAAGTTTGACCAATATTTGGACACAGGGCTGTTAATAGCATTCTACTTTTAACTGCTCTAAAATGCAAGTTTGGCTTCTTTGTGACATACTTAATTTAGTATATTTGTGTTCTTAATGGAAATTCTAGAAGATGTAGTATGAATCGTTCAGGCAACTTGTGCTCTTTTGATTTGGAAGAAGGAAATTGAAGTAATTATTTTTAAATCCCAAAACCACCTCCTAAGAATTATTACCAACAAAAAAGAAAAAAAAATGTAGGCAACCTCTTGAAAGGGAGATGTATTTGAGAGAGATGCTGTGGATTGGCCTAATCTGTCTGCCTTTGGAATTCAAGTTGAGCTGTAAGCCTTGCCCTGTCAGAGAAATTTGTCTTGAACTAATTGATTCCCATTTACCTTCAGGTAATAGAGACCTTTGTCAAAGATAATGTAGGTGCAGCAATGTATGAGTTTGTGATTTACCCAACAGATTATTTACCAACAAGTTAATTATTCTCCTGTAAAAGGAAATTGGTTCATTCGGGTTATTTATTAGCAAGATAAAGAAAATGTAATGTTTTGTACTTGACACAAGCATGAAATGTGTATTGATATCATCAGGAGATTTGACTTGTGTTATGACAACAGATCAAAACTGGCTGACTGTAGCCACCTCACACTTTCTTCCCCCACCCTTGGGTGGGAAATATCCTTCCTTGTGTCAAGGGTGGCTGCACAGCTCGGGATGTTGCTCTTAAGGTTACAGCCCTATTTCATTCAACCTTATTATGCAGGCTGGATTTTGCTGGTTAAGGACAGGCTTTGTGAGCCATGCAGTCGTCCTAGTCATTGAGGTGCAGCAGTCACTCTTGGAGCAATGAGGTGGGGGTACTAACAGCTTCAGGTGTCTGATCTTACTCTGACATTCCAACTGAATCAGCTCTGAGAAACCTGCATACTAGGAAGATCAGAATATTAGTGCCAAGCACCACTGTTGTCTTAGTTTCATTATTTTGGCCTTTGAAGTGAAGCTGAGCCTACCTTCTTTGTGGAGAGAGAAAGAAGCTTCATGAAGCCTGCCTTTGCTTTCCTGCCCCTGACTTGTATTGGATCCGTTGCTGTGCTGAATGAACGTTTCTTAAAATAAAGTTCTCTCTGATTGAATGAACAGATAAAGAGATACAGCAGTCCTCTAAAAGGCTGCATTTGTGGTGCTGTTCAGCAGACCTCTTGCTTTTTAAAATATTTGCTCAAGTGAAAAAGAATTGTGTGTGGTGATGCCACTGGTTCATTATTTACATTTTTTCATGCCTTGTAGCATCAGATGGACCCTTCTGGCAATTTTTATAATTATCGAACTGCTCTGCGTGGAGCCGCTCAAAGGTCCTTGACAGCTCATAGCAACAGAGAGAAGGTATGTTTACAAATGACTTGGCAGTAGGCAAAAAATGGAATGTGCTTGTTAAATTGCATGGTAAGCTTTTGTCTTGGGATTCTGATTTTCAGCAACTCTACCCCTGATGGGCTTTTAAAAAGAGTAAAAAGCCTCAGAACTGAATCCCTCTTTATCGGTAATGTCTAAATATTACCTGTAAACTACCGAGAAAGTAAGCGGAGTATTTGAGGAAACCAGGTGACTCAATGAAAATGACCATTTTAGGGCTGCCAGTTCAGTTTGGTGCTGACTGAAAGCTGCAAATAGTAAGTGATTGCTTTGATTATTTAAATAAAATTAGTACATTGTCTAAGCTCATTTCTTTTTTGACAGAGAACTTTATCTTGCAAACCAATAATACTGATGGAAAGGCTAAGGACTGAAATGAGTTTGCTAGTGATTTGTTCTTATAGCTGCTACTTGTGCTCAGTTTTACATGGTTTATGGTTTAGGGTGGAAAAGCTTTAAAATTTAATGAGAAAAGGTAGTCTAAAACTCAAATCTAGACAGAGCTTCTGTCTAAATTCTGTGGAGTCCCCTTCCTGTGTACAGGCTTTAGGTGACCTTTAAATATACTCTGGAGATTTTTAGTGTAAATGGTGAGATGAGTCAGGTGGTTTTGTAATGCAGTGGGTTAAAATCAGCCTTCCAAATTCAAGAGTGGCTGTGAACTATGTGTTAATAGAGGTGACATCTTTCTTTACTCCTTAAAATAAAATAGCTTTTGAGAAACAAACTGGATTTGGTCACATATTAATGCAGAATCTCAGTTGTAGTTCTTGTGGAAAGGAGCCACATAGCTTCCTAGCTGCTCCCTACTTCGAAGCAATTGCATATAGTATTAGGACTTCATGCTGTGTTTAATAAACCTGATCTTGGTGCTCATAGAATAAACTACAAGGCAGGATGAAGCAAATCCATGTGCAGTCTTCTGGCCTATATTGTTGTTTTACAGGTGTAAATAAAAACAGTGATTTTTTTCTGAGACCTAAGCATCTGTTCACGTATTGTTCAAAGCACCAGAAGTTTAAATGTAAGATGCTTACTTCTTTTCAGAGAAAAGTGAGTTTTAAGGGTTCAAAGAACGAATTTACAGGTATAGATAGCAATGGTGCAGTGAAGTCTTCCAGGGAAATAGTGATAACTGATACTTGTTTTATCCCCAATTGCAACAAGAATGTGCATCTGTGAAAGTTTTGATGGGATACAAATTAAAATACAATCATTTTAGGAATGTAAGAATGTTCCAGCATCCTCCAAAGAAAAATACTTTGATTTGTTCAGTTGGCAGGAAGTTCTTCATTTTGAGCCAGTCAGTGCCAAGGTTCAGTTTCTTGCATGAGCTCAGGGAACTGTAGTTCAAAAGCCATTTGTGCTGCTAGCCCCAAATTTTCCATGTTGTGCTTTAATGTGCATCTCCCCTCATTTACCAATCAAGTTCCTGTCAAGAGGGAGAGCTGCACTGAAGTACTCTGCGGGAATTACATGTAAGAAGCAGGCACCTCTGAGCTCTTATGTTCTGGAATCTGCCAGGAAGAATGAGAAAGTGAAAACAAGAGGGATATGACATGGTAATGAAATGAGTTAGGTATATTGTTCTAAACATGTCTCATAGCCACAGTTGACAAGCAGTGGAGTGCCAATAGGTACTTTAATTGTGACCTTGAGTGAGCTACATGCCAAGAAGAGTTCAAAGTAAAGGCAATGTTTGGCACAAAGTTGGAAATAAAACTATAGTGATTAGCTCACCATCCAAGGGAGGACTTTCTTTATAGAGAAACATAATGTATTTTAAGATGTAGTGAATGCAAAATTTTTGTGTAGTGAAAGAGGGGTCCTTTGGTATTTTGCTTACGTTTCATACATACCAGCTGACTTCCTTTTATTTTTCTCTTTAGACCATTATGTTTTGATTCAGGACCAGACTGAGAATAATGTTGTTCTTTTCTTAGATCGTAATACCTTTCTTCAGCCTCTTGATCAAAGATATTTACTTCCTTAATGAGGGTTGTGCCAATCGTCTTCCAAATGGTCACGTCAATTTTGAAGTAAGTAGAGCACCACCTGCGGTATAGGTACAGGGTTAGCCCCTTTAGCAGAAAACTGAAGCAGATCATGATTCAGCTTCCACTGGATTTTGGGAGAGCAAAATTAGACTGGAATTTGAGTCTGTCTGTTACTTCTCCCAGGAGCGGGGAGGTAGCCAGGAAAAAGCAGTTTTATTGAAGACGGAGTGTTTATAGAAACCTTTCCAATTGTCACAGTTTTTTAGGGGGCAAAAAAGTCTGAACTTTTTCCCAATGCTCAAATTCATATAAACATTTCAACTCACAGGCTTATTATACTTAATGACAGAAACATTCAAATTAGTATTTTAGAGCTTCTTTTTGTATTCCCTATGCAAAAGGTGAGTTCATCCTTTGTCAAGGTGTATGCAGTATTTTTGTACATGTAAGTCACAGATTGTCTCTGAAAAAACATGTGATAGAGCAGCAGTGAAGGAGTTTTGAGTCCCTTGTCTTTCCGTAGCTCTTCTGCTTCCGATTTCACACTTGCTATCTGGCAGTGTGGATTACCCAATGATTTGTTCTCTGGTGCTTTCAACTTTCAAGAAGCCTGGGTCACTAGCGCAAAATTACAGGACATTTCACTTGTAGTCATATGACTAACCTGGTTTAACCTGGCCTGAATTAACCTGGTTCTAAAGCTAGAGTATGTGATGATCTGGAATCACATAGTGATGTGATTGATGTGATGTGATGATCAAGGAATCCACACATGTACTTGAGACTTTAATTAAAAGAGGTTATCAATGAATGACATCAACACACTACACGGGTAATGTTTATTTTTGGCATAAACTTCCATTAAGAAAATTGAGCATTTCAGATTAACTAACTAAAATGGAACATCTGGATTTCAAAGTGTCAGTATTGAGCATCTAGAGACTTGTGATGTGAAAATTACTAAATGTTTCACTGTGAAACAAACAAGCATGAGCATCGTCAAATTGAAAAGTTGAGTATAAGGAGTGTTATCAGCTCCTTGAAAAGAAACTGAGTGCAGATCATGATCTACTATTTATATTCATAAATAAAAACAATTTTACTAAGGTGGAGTGAGAAGTCATCCTAGTTTGAAACAGAAACACAAAAGTTAGAAGCTGAGTTCACATGCAATTCTAGTTTAAAAGCCAGGGAGAATCCAAGCCTTGGACTTAAACCAAGATATCTGTCTCTCTTTTAAAAAAATGTTCAGGCTAACTGTTCAATATATAGCACCTCTTCTGTTTTCTCTTCTGTTCTGACAGAAATTTTGGGAATTGGCAAAACAAGTCAGTGAATTTATGACATGGAAGCAAGTGGAGTGTCCTTTTGAAAGGGATCGGAAGATTCTGCAGTATCTGCTCACTGTCCCAGTCTTCAGTGATGACGGTAAGGAGCTCTGGACTTCTAGCAGTTCTGGTGTCACTGGCTACTGCTTAGTCTCTCTCCATGTTAAGTTGTTGCTTCCTCACAGTAAAGAAAGACTTTGTCCTGAGATGTCTCTGTCTGACAAGTAAAAAAATGCTTCTCCCTTGCAAATGAGAGAGAAATTAAGATTTTTCTTTTATGTGCACATGGTCCGTGAGAATTGACATTATACTTTTCTCTGAAATAGAATGAAAAAATTTATTGGATAGGTGGTCCCTGTAAATATCATCTCATCTGAATTGTATTTATATGGACTTTCAGGATGCTTTACACTAAAGAATGCTGTTTGAGAAAGAAAATGGGGACTTACAAAGCACCATGTCCCTGGGCTCAGTTTTTTCTTTTGAGTGTTTCCTTCCACTCTTGTGCTTTTGAGTTTTCACTAGTTGTTTTCTTCTCCCTCAGGATAGCCTTTGTTCTCATGCACTGTTTGTTAGTATTGTCTGGATGTAATTATAAGCAATGCTATACTTCTTAATGGGATTTTGGAGCCCTAGTCTGAGGGATGGATAATACAAGCCTGCTTCGTTTAACTTTAGTCCACTTTCCAGGGAGAGCAAATTTTAAAATGCCAGTAGGCCTAATATACTGTATTTGCTTCTGATTGCAGCACTTTACTTGGCTTCCTATGAGAGTGAAAGTCCTGAGAATCACATTGAAAAGGACAGATGGAAGGCACTGAGGTTTGTGTCAGAGGTTACTCACATCAATAAATAAAGAGAATGGGTTACAGAGCAAGCATTAAACAGTTAAAACCAAATGGCATGCTACGTTTCAACAGCTGGGGCACAGCATCAGTGTAAATCCCCCCTTCAATCTGGGACTCTTGGAAAAAAGAGAACAGTCAGTCTTTATCTTAAACCCTCTCAAGCTTTCTCTCCCTTAGGGGATGGGAATTAGAATAAGTAATTATGTATCTCAATTTCTTGTATTATTCAATGTAGGAAAAAATACTTTCTAAAATTCAAAAAAATCTCTACTTCCTCACAAATACTATACAGAGCAGTCTGGTTATTGCATCCCTTTATGCACCTAGCCTTTCACACAAGGTTGAGGTTTGCACAAAGATCACTCTGGGGCAAATGCATTCATGAAACCAGGTAACAATTTAGAGTCCAGGCTGGGAAAAAAACCAAATTTAAGCAAAATTCTATTTTTTGGCTTTTCTTCTACTGCTGTTTTAACATAGCCTCATCAACTCTTTCATTTTATTAATTGTGGAAGGATACACGAACCATTATGGCAGTGTTTTAGCTCATGCTTTAGCCAATCATCTTTTTTAAAAAAAAAAAAGTTCATGGCAGCAGAGGAGACTGATCAGGTGCATAAATGGAGACAGAATTGAACAGATATATGAACAATCTGTGTTTTCACCCCTGAATCATACCTCCACTTTAGTCTTAAAACTACTCATATCCCAAGGAACTGACCGCTAGTCAGGTTTTCTTGTCACTGTGGCAGGTAGCTGGTACGTTAACACCTAGAGGTACCCATGGATATTAACATCCCAGCTCTTCTGATCCACTCTGCAGCACCTCAGAGAGACAACTGTACACCACAGCCTTAAGGATTCTCCTCAGGCCATGTTGGTTTTTCATGGGATATCACAGGGGGGTGTAACAATTCCATGTGATTAATCCCAGTTATTCTGAGGAAAGGACTGAAAGAGAGTTACTCACATCAGTGCACAGACACTCCGCATTACACAGGCTAGGAAAGATGGACAGACAAAGACTCTGAGCTTAAAAATCTGTGGTAACACAACCTCAATTTCACAGGATCCTTATCTGAGGCTCTCTGAAGCTGTCTGAGAAGATTTACATCATTCTAATGGTTATATTTACTTATTTACATTTCCCTCTTCCTTTCAGGTCAGCGCTTCTGGGCAGAGTCTAGTGCACAAGACAACTGCTGTTTCTGCTGTTGCTTTTTTATGTGGATTACTAAGGGGCATGGCTTGGTTTATTTTTCTGTACACCGAGTGACATTCAAAATGATGAAAAATGTGCAGTCAGTTGTGATATTGTGTCAACAAAGATGAAACAAGTTAATTCAAGAACAAACAGGCAGCTTCTCACATCTGACAGATGAGATAAAATCACAGCCCACTCAGCTGTGATTCAGGCTTAAGTATTGATTGAGTACAGCACTGACAGAATCCTTTGAAGAGCTCAGATGCTGCCTATGAATCATTTCACACCTGAATGGAATATTTTTCCCCTTCCTTTTGCTGTATCTTGCTGCTACAAGGACCTTGTAGAGTTGGTAGTAGATTACAGATGGGAAAAAAAATCACCATTCCTTTCAGTGAAACCCAAGTCTGCAATGAAGAACTTCCTATTCCTAATAAGCTGAATATAGCCAGGAACTTTGCCTGATTGGGATTGCTAAAAAGGGAAAGGACTGGACACAACAAATTGGCTGCTGGGGAGAGTTTCTCCTCACCACTGTAATGGTGGCTGTGATTTGTTTTCTTTTTCCATTATGTTTCTGAGTTGGCTGCTGGTAAGCAAACTCATTATTTTTCTGAGTTATTTAAAATATATAAAGTAATAAAAATCAAGGCTGTGGTAGAAGACACACCTGCTATGGAAGTATAGTAGCTATGTTGCTTGGACTATTTTACAACTTCTAGGGTGGTTTTTTCTTTCTGTCTTTCAGTTGTTTACAACTAACCACTACATGCTACAGACACCCTTGTTTTTACTAGATGGTTTTTTTATTCTCATTTTCTGTACTTGATCTTCTTCTTATATTAGGTTGAACAAGCTGACTTTTCTAGAATAGTCTTTGAGAAACTGGTGTACAAACTGTGTTGAAATATGAAAGTATATTTTTATCAAGTCATTTTTATAATTGCTTTTTTTTGAAAGGATAATAATGGAGAACACAGTCCCCTTTGACTAAAATAGCAAGATGCCAAAAGAAAAAGATGAGGCTTCTTCCCAACTACAGCTGTGAACAAAAGTCTCCCTGTGTGTTTGCTTTATGAATTATGTTCATGACTGTGAAGTAGTTCACTGTGTCACACACCTAAAAAGTTTGTAGTAGCTCTGAATACTTAGTCACTCTATTTATCCTAGGAAGAACCTGACAGAAGAAATAAGGATAAATATATCTATTCATTGTACTGCATCTCCTGAGTTTTCAGGCAAGCTGTTTTTTATGTTCTGTCCCTGCATTTTCAGGCAAGTATTTAGTTTTTGAATTCTCTAAGAACATGCTGAAGTAACATTCACCAATGGGGATGCTCTTCCTAACTAAATCCTGTTTCCTGGTACAAGGTGCTGGAAATCAGTTACATATTCCATGAGCACTAGCACCAGGGCCAGAGAAGTGGTAGAGGATTCCTCTCCTCTCCCATTCCCTGAGTCAGGGCGAAGGAGGAAGAGGCTAACCCTTTGAAAGGAGGAGACTGCTTCTGCAGTTCACAGACTTACCTCCCAGCTTTCATCAGGTGAGGTCTTTCCCATCTTCCCCTCTACATCCTTCCCCCATTGTTGAGGCTTGTAGGCAGGACTTAGTTTATGTGAGAAGCTGGGGGAAATTGTGTATTTCTCTTCCACATCTTCTGGAAGTAGAATGATATGGTAATGAGGTACATAAATGAGCTTTCATGATGCAATATTTGCTATCCCCATTAACCTGCTTTTTTACATTTTTGGTTCTAGGGAAAGCCAGAGGGTTGAACAATGAGTTAGCTTACCTGTAAAAATAACTTCTGTCCTTCCCTCCACCACTGTAATACAATTTGACTGCTAGCCTGGTTTAGAAATGGATTTGTTATTTATACAGTTGGAATGAAGCCTTTGTAAATAAAAGGAGAAACAGCATTACACAGCCTCTTTCCAGAGTGCAGGCTCTGCCTGTTGTCTTGTGGGCCAGCTTTTTGCCGAGAAGGCAGCACATGCCAGAGTGATTGCTGTGGAGGAGGCAGCTGCTGTCTTGGCACAGAAGCTGGGTGGTGGGTGCAGAAGCCTGTGACTGGTGCTTGAAAGGGGAATGCAAATTCCCTAGCCGCAGGCAAGCCAGAGTCTGCTGTGGTCATTAATGAACTCAGTGTTTGATGTTAGAACAACACGAGTCTTGTCATGCACTATACCCTCTGCTCCATCATTCAGTGCAGCCAGTGTGCCAAGCTTTAATTTTGAAACTCCTGAGCTACTGTCAGACTGTTGAACTGGTGGCTTGGAAACAGCCGTTCACACCTGCCTGTGGCACATGAGAGAGAAAATGACTGACTCTTCTATGGCTAACCATCTCCTAAAGGAAGCATCACAGGGACCTTTCTGAAATGTGGAGTTACAAGAATTTACTAACTCTTCAAGTTGAGTGTTCAGCCAGGACGGATAATCACAGCTCAGTGCTGACAGATGTTCGGTGAACAGATACTCAGGTGTGGACAGAAGGAACACTGAAGTCTCCTATGTAAATGGCTCAAACATTACTTATTTCTTTGTGGTGTAGAGACAAAAACTGTGGGTTGTATGAACCAACTTGTTCAAAAGAGTCCAGATATCTGGCTAAGCCCACAAGAACAATACCTATACTTATCCAAATATTTCCTTTTTCTCCTACTTGGATACAGCGTCATGGCATCACCATGAAAAGGGTAGTCTGTTGCATGCAATAATGTGCAAAAGCCTATTGATAACTATCATCTCTAAAAGAGAAAGCAAGGACCTATACCTCCATGTGGTTTTTGGTGTGTTGTTTTTTTTTTTTTTTTCCCAGTCTTCCCAGACATCCTGTTCTTGACAGAGCTGAAACTGGTACTTAATCTAGCACTAAAAAGAACTTTTTTTTTGAAAATAAGATGTAATTCATTTTCCAAGACTTCTGGGTTATTTTCGCTGTCACTTTGGGTGGCTTTCCTTACACTAGTTGTGTGCAGCAGGACTCCTTGTGGGCTTCTTGCAGTATTTCTGCTGGAAAAGAACAATCTCTTGGTAGTGGACCGGTGTCTGCTTTTTCTCTCAGCTCCTCTCTGCCTGCCCTTGGTCACGCTGAGCAGATTTTCCCCACATCAAAGGAGAGGCTAATCCCTAGGGATGCATTCCCTCGCCACTGCATCTGTCCTGCTGCTGTCAGTCGGATCCAGATAGCCTGCTTCTACCAAGCAACTGTATCCTAACTTGTGCTTTATAGTCACGGGGTCCTGTGTCATCATTTTTTTTTAGCTTGAGAACACTGCTGGTAAGGATTTTCAAGGGAACTAGTCTATTTACACGGTTACTGTTGTTAGGCATCTGTTAAACTGACACTTCACGCTGGCACTTCATAACCAAAATTGATAAAGTTCAGTGAGTTTAGAAGCAAGAGTTTAGTGCCAGAAAGTGTGTCTTTAGATACCAACAGACACATTGCCATTATTCCACTGTGCTGCATTAAGCTCTTCCAGAACATGTTTTTTTCTTTCTCCTTTATTAGAAAATTTTAGCTATAGTATGACCCAAAAAGATGTCTCATGGCTTACCGAGTAAATACAGTCCTTCTCTCAGGGACATTACTTTTCAGGAAGAAAAATGTAAAAGATAATGTGAATAAAGCAGCTGTTTTTCATCAATTATTTATGTAGCCAAAGCAATCTGAGTGTCAATGACACAATGAGGCAGAATTTTCTGCTCTCTGTTAGTGCTTTTCTCTCCTGCCCTGTGAAGTCCAGAGGTTGGAAAAGGAAGTGCTTCTTAAGTGGGCTTCTTGCTGCAGTGGAAAGCAACACCTGGAGCCAGTGCACTGGCAACAAATAAATCAAAGCATCTGTCTTGGTGTTACAGCACGATCCTCTGTAAGCCCTGAATTTTGGTCTAGTGGTCAGAAGATTAAATCACTTTCCTTAGAAAGAACCATAAACCAGTCCAGGGAGCTCTAATAAACACTAGTGGGGGGAAAAAAAAAAAAAAAAGCCCCTTGGCCTTTCAACTGCTTTTCCTTATTGTCTGATAACTCTATAGAATTTAAATTTGGGATGCCTCACTGCTTTTTAAATGTGTTTTCCTGGGAGAAAAGTTTATGAAGAAGGCCATCACAAAGAGCTGTGGTTGAAAGTTCAAGGCTGGTGATTCAGAACAGAGTGAATGTTGTGGGCAAAGAAGTTCAAAGAAGCTCATCTTGTTGTCAAACAGATCAACCCCACTTGTATCAATGATCCAACTATTGATAACGCTGCCTCTAAGGACGGAAGAATGTTTTGAAGCTACTGTGGGAGGCATTGAAACAACCACCTTGATACTTTGTTTTCTATTTAACCATAAAGGTACTAACACATTTGAACAGCCAACATTCCTGGGCAGAGCCTTTTTTACTTTCTCCTTGTGTATGCAACCATGACAGAGGGTTTTACTATTTCTCTAGTAATAGAGAAGCACACTAACATTTTCTTTGCTGTGTCTTTCAGAACTGGACCATCTTCCACATTCCTAATCTTGCCAACCTACTCCAAATTAAAAGTATGAAAGCAAGACAGAATACATGTGAAAAACTGTGTTTCTTGCTGATTTTAACATATACAGAAGGACTGTTTTTACTAAAGGTTGGTAGAAAATCAGAAATAATTAGAGCTGGGAGCAAGTCAGTCATTTCAGAAGGAGTTACACTTAGACCTCTTCCCCAGACAGTTCAGACAGTTGCAGTTCTGCTTTTCCATAAAAGAAGTTAGAGGAGGATCTATGGAGTAATAGAAAAGAGGATCTGGTAGGAAATTAATTGGCATCCCTTTCCTGAGACAAACATCACCTAATTGTGGCCAGTGGTATTGAATAGAAAGAAGCCGAAGCAAGCAAAGTTTAGGTTACAATAGTTTCTTTGCCATGCGTAAGTTGAACTTCAGGTTTGCTGGCAAAGAAGCTCCACTCAGAAATACCACAGCGACACTCTTATAAAGGGAGTCAGAGATATGCTATATCTGCTAAACCAGGCAATAGCGATCTTTTGCTTAAAAGGAAATAATGTGAAATTCCAACAAGAGTAACCTGGTAATATGACAGCAGAAGTTGAGATAATATCAGAGTAATTAGTAAGGAATACACATACCAGTGTGGTTAGGTGATAGTTTAGAAAATTAGTATGTGAAACATGAGAAAAAACAAGTAAAGGATTGGGTGCATGCAACATGCTGTTTCTTGCTACTGCTGCTGCCAGAGTAAGGATCTACTCTGATGCTAACAACGGAGGATGTTACTGTTTCCCCTTAACTTCTGTCTGAGCAAATGTATTGTATTTCTTGGTACTCATTTCTGTGTGGCAGTTCAGAGTCAGGCCTAGAGGAAATAGCAGGTGATGCTGCTTGATCCCTGTGTAAGCCCAGAGAATTTGATAATCAGCAGAACTAGCATTCAGAAGCTGTTTGTCCCCCATAAAAACATTCTTGCAGCATTGCATATTCTCAAGCAATGTCACAGAGAACAGATCTCATTTAAAAACCCAACATGAATTCTGAAGGCTGAGTATTAAGGAGATCTGATCTGTGAATGTCTGTTTCAACAGGTTTACGGTAAAAACTTGAAACTGCAGTACGTGTTGAGCAAGTTTCAGAAAAGACCGTAACGAAAATATATTCTGGAGCAATATTGGCAGGGTATGTCATTATATTAAGTTTAAAGGAAAAAGAAAGGTAAATGTATGAGAACAGTGCATCACAGTGTTAATTTTTTAACAGACAAAATGTTCTGTAGAATCCATACAGAATCAAATATTTTAATCCCAGAAGGTTACTTTTATAATACAGAGGTTTAGAACACAGTACACCTTTTGTTGATATGCTATTAGATCCTTGTTATACTCTAAGAACAGTCGGTCACCTACTTTAGAAGCAAAGCATGCATTTAATGTTAGTCCATTTATATTTCTGTCTTCACAGAATTTCCATTTATATAATAGAAGCATATTTGACTGGATTATTTAAATGCTACTTTTCTTTGGAAAAAATAAAACTCTCCTTTTTATTAGCTGCCTTGCAAAATAATACTAGTTGCATAATGTGCATAATATCTTGGGAAGAGCAGCAGTTGTATATTTATCTGGTTTTCAGTAATTATTTGTGAATATGTTGTCTAGTAATTAAATTAATATATCAGGGGCTTGGCTTGTTTTAAACAGCTGCCTGGCCTCAGGGACCAAAAGGTATAAAACTAACCAAGGGGAAATGAGCAAAGTAATGTAACCTGAGGGAACTGGAACAACTGATGCTGATAATGGGGTACAAAAAAAGGTTTCTGCTCCCCAAGATTTTGGACAGTTGGTCTTGGAATTTATTCTGGGAAAAAAAAAAAAAAAAAAAAAACAACTAAACAAACAAAGAAAGAGTTTTGTAGCTCTACATCTTCAAATGCTTCAGCGTATACATCTTCAAATGCTTCAGTGTATAAAGGGCTCAGTAAACTACCCAGGCAGGAATATTTTCTTTTCCTGTGAGTAGTGTGAAAGGCTGTGCACACTGTTAATAGGAAGAGGTCAGCATTCATCACCTTTAGGAACTGCTCCGTGACACCTAGCTGTGGTACTGTGTTGAACAGGTAAATACTGGTAAACGTACTAGCAGGAATGTTAGTGAGGGAGTAAACCCGATGAGACACTACTCTTCAGATTTCAACCAAAATTCACAGCAGTGTAGGAGAAAGGAGGTATCGCTGCCTTCATGTTGGTGGCCTGCCAGTCTAAAAGAACTTTCCTTTACAATACGGGGGGTGGGACCTGGCTCATGGATGAAGGTATCTAAATGCAGGTGCCAGCATCTGAGATGAATATGTAAACTCTCATTACTAGTAACGGACATATAGTTAAGCTATTGAGTGTTCAGTGATGTCTAAAGCTGGCACCCTGGGGGTGTACTACAGGCAGAGCAGGCATTCAAGTGCCCTGGGCTATCAGATATTTTTCACCTGCCACTAGCAGGCTTGGCTCAGGAGCTAGGGGAGACCCAGGTCCTTCCAGAGAAGCTGCAGGGAGGGGCGGAGAGAAATCTTCAGCATGTCTGGAATGGTACTACAGGCCTAAGGGGCAAGGTGGGCCATTACATGCATGTACTTGTGGCAAACAGGTTATTTCAGGCAGGATTCTCACTAGGAGCCTGGGACCTCATGGGCAGGGGAGAAAGCCAAGCAACTGATGGCCAAAGTGGTGCTGTTTGCATAAGCTGGCAAAATAGTTTTAAGTTACTTTGGCAGTTGAGTTGCTTGGAGGTCAGTTAACACTGAAGGAAATAAAGGAAGGGTTGCATTTCACTTAGCTTCAGCATGACTGAGAGAGCATTTTCAGTGCAGTGTTATACAGTTGTTGTGTTTAAATGCCTTCTTTTCAGTCTGCTACTTTTGAATTCAGTTTTAAAAGTTGCAGGAGTCATCTTCCTACAGGGATCATGCAGAGGAGAGTGAATATTTATCACTCCCAGTCGACGAGAGGTCACTGCCACTGCAGGTGCAACTGACTGTTCACTGGTGGCTCTTCCTTGGGTCCCCCCCTCCCTGTAAACCCATTTCAGTTCAAGGACTTCCCCGTTTTCAGCTTTTGCCCTTCAAGCTGAGAATGGGAAATTTACTGTAGTCAGGCGAAGGGTGCCCTCTTGTGATAGGAATGAAACAAATCGGAGGTACAGGTGGGAGGCGCTGAGGAAATAAGAATGAAGGTCCACAGGAAGAAATGTGTTTGGATTGAGCCCATGTGCAGCAGCCAGGAACTGCTTCATTTACACATCTTCAACTTCTGCCGACACGTTTTAACTTAGTCCATATTGCAGCTAATTCCACTGAAGGGGCAGGGGACTGGCACACTGTGGGAGGAGTTTCTGGGTGTCTTGCATGGGATAGAGACAGTCCTCAACTGGGTACAGACAGGGTGAGGGCTGGAGCAAACTGGCCATCATGTAATGATTGTCCTTTCAGTCTGGAGGCTGGGAGGGGAGCTGTGGAGGAAGCAGGAGAACCTTGCCACACAAGTGTTTTCCTGGCAGGTAGGAAGGCTAACTGAAGGAAAATTGAAGGACACAGCTTCAAAAGACAGATAGTCATTCCCAGTTGACAAGACTTAGTTTCCTGGGATGGCCGTACGAGGTGTTTTGTGAGAAAATGCAGCTTTTCTTTCTGGTGTGGTGAGAACCACCCCCCGGGCACCACCTCAGCAGCCCGGGGCACCGTGAGGAGCGCCAGCGTGGCGTGCTGGGGGCGGCCGCCGTGGCCAGGGCTCAGGGGCACTCGCCCCTGGGCCATCGGGCACGCGGAGCGCTCACGCATGGCTGTCGGAACCGGAGCCAGACCGGCGGCAGCGGGAGCTGTTGTCCTCAGTCCTGGGGAGCGCCGCGAGGCCTTGCCGTGCCTCGGCTCTCACGTGTCGCAGCAGCCTCAGGGAGCACCAGCAACACAGTCCCGACCCGAGGCTGCCCACAGGTGGGTGCCGGTGCTGGGGGGATGGGGCCAAAGTGGGGTGTGGCTTCTGCACCCCTTGTGTGAGGCTGCCCCATGCCTCACGTAAAGAATTACGGCGAATGGGAGGGCATCATTTTGTTCCTGTGGAGGGTGATGGGGAGTGGTTGGGAGAACGGACTGGTTTCAGCCTGTGGAATTTGGAGCTGACAGCGGGAGACGTAGCTCGTCTGGGTCCCGCAGAAAACGTGGCATTTTGGCCAGCTGGCTGTCCTGGGCGGCTGCTTGGCAGAGCGATGTGGTGCACACACTGACACCGGGAACCCCAGGGCAGCTGCTGGGTGGTCTGCGGTCCCATCGGAGAAGTCCTGGTCAGGAATCAGTTGCTTTCACAAACAACTGACAAAACCAGGTCTCTCCCTGATCATTTTTAGTTTACGGTACTTCAGACTACTTGAAAACCTTCTAGTCAGGTGAATTTCATGTGGAGAGATGGCAGATCCGTAAACCAAAAGATCTTGAATGTAAAAAACTCTGCCCATCTCATGTG